ATACCTGTACTGTACGAGTGCTTCACTGTCCTATTTTTGTCTGTAGAGGAAAACTTGAGCAGATATTGGACACAGTTTTATTTTTCCCAGGATAATTTAATCAGCTATCAAAGAGGATGGTTAATAAAGTGATTTCACCTTAGTAGTGATTCTAAAGGAGCTGTGGGCTCTTATCAAACTATGTTTTCCCACCCCAGCGACTTGTGTGTAATCACTGTCCAAGCAAGTCTCTGTGGAGGGCTGAAGACCGCTGGCCTCATGGGAGGACTGAGGGACAGGTTCTGAGGCCAGCCAGCGAGGGAGGGCCTGACCGTTTCCTCACTCAGGAGTGAGCCCACAGTAGTGAGAACTGTGTTCAGTGGAGCAAATGGCTGCCTTTGTAGGTAATACCAGGTTGTACAGCCGTGCCCCGAGCAGTAGGTGTCACTGTAGTCAGTGGCTTTTCCTGCTCAGAGCCCAAGGGGTTAATTGGGTCTGGTTTAGTTGGGCTGATGGAGGCCCAGCTGTGCCCACCAGGGTGTTGTCTTGGTCTCTCCGGCCCCAGTTGATCTTAGGAAAGGCCCCAGTCCATACTGAAAGGCACTGTTTTTCTGTAGGAAGGGAAGAAAGATACTTTCCCTTCTATATTTTAGAGTTTAAGGCTGGGTTGAGTTGGGGTGGATCAATAGGTCAGATAACCCTTCCAAAATTTGGTGGGGCACCTAGGACAGAAGCCCTGTTATATGCAGGCGCTAAGAGCTTTCAGAACTTCTATCTGCATCCCTCTCGGAAATTTCCCTTTACCACAAAGGAGGCAAAGAAAAAACATCTCTTTCTAGCAGAGATGTACTTTTGCCACTTTCTACTCCAGAGAAGCTAAAATGGAATTTAGAAATAACTACTGTGTTGGCTAATTAAAAAGACAACACACCAACAACCTGTGGTTACTTGCTTTTTCAAGCACCCCCAATTTTACTTCTCTTGTCTAGTAGCACCCTGGTGTGAAAACAAAATAAAATCTAGGAAACTCACCATAGAGTTTCAGATTCATCTTCTCTCTTCCTCTTTGCCTAGATAACCCATCTCTCTCCCCACCCACCACCCAGTGTGGTTTCTCCATCAAAAAAATACATGAAGGAAGTATATGTGATATACCTGGATACTCATTAAAAATACCTCCTGTCCAGTCTCTGCACTCCTCGCCCCCTGCCCCCCCCCCCACTCCCCGCCCCCGCCAGTTGGTTGTTGCTAATGCCCTGAATAAGCCTTGCTCTTTCGGGTAGATATGGTAAGCTCAGACTACTCTCTCTCTCTCTCTCTCTCTCTCTCTCTCCCCCTCCCTCCCCCCCCCCCCCTTCTGTCTCCCTGACTGAGTGGCTCCCTTTTAAACCATCCGCACACTCCTCGCTGAGCCAGGTGGCGTTGCTTCCTGTCTCTCCAGCTCGCTGTTGCTAAGTGAGAGGCACCATATCACACATAAAGCTGAACCAATAGCATCCTGACCCCCATAGGCTGGTAAAAGCTGAAGAAAGAGACTCCCACAGTGTTGTCTGCGGCTGACGGGTCCTCCCCCCTCCCTCTCCCCTCCCACCTTTTCTTTTCCAACAGGAAGGGGCGGTGGTGAGGGAGATGGTAGGAGGAAGAGGGAAGAAAGAGAATGGGGGAGGTGAATCCTAATATGCCTTGCTGTACTTGAGATAAATGCCATTTTTTCTTTGCGAAGAAAAGGAATGGTGGCTTCTCTTGAGCAGTCAGGGACCAGAGGTGCACTCTTTCTGCCCCCAAACTGCCTGCGTCACAGCTCACACTCTGAATAAGACGTCTGCTACCTGCATCAGCTCTCTCCTCTCTCTCTCTCTCTCTCTCTCTCTCTTTCTCTCTCTCTCTCTCTCTCTCTCTCTCTCTTTCTCTCTCCTTCCCTCCCTCCCTCCTTCCTTCCTTCCCTCTTTCCCTTCCTTCCTCCCTCCCTCCCTCTCTCCCTCCATAGCTATGAATCTTTTCATTTTTTTTTTAAATCCCCACAGTTGTGCAGATCTTGGCACCCCTGTTCTTTCTTCCTCTCACCTCTCCTCTTTCCCATCTCACATTCCAGAATGCGTGTTCTTACATGTAAAAATTAGCAAAGGGTATTTCATCTACGGTCCTGTGGCGGTAGTCATCAGAGTATCCTGGGGAATGGGACAAGACAGGAGGAATATTTATAAAGGCCATTAAAGAAATCACCTGTTCAGAATGTCCCCATCTTTGGCAAGGTCTGTACAAGCACAGAGTGCAATGAAGGGCTGTTCTTAACTGGAAAACGGCCAGTGTAGACACCAGTGGTACAGTTGAGATTATACAGAGGAAGTGACATTTCTCCTATAATTACCTGGATATTTTGGGCAACATCAGACCCGAGTTACCTAGGTAATTAAGGCTTCGTAGATCTGACCTTCGAACAAAACAGATTCCAGTGAAGTTTTCCATGGAAAATGTTTGCTATCTTTGGTGATGAAAGCAGGGAAGGCATCCACCGTTTCTGCAACCACATGAAGTCCAGTTCCAAGCAGACTTTTCTTCGGTTTGATGCCCAGTAGGTTCCCAATAAATTTCTCCTAACCTCCTGGAGATGGCTTTATTATTGGCTGCTCACGTGCCATTCGAAAAAAATAACCTGTGTTTATTTCTCAGTTGAGGGCATTGTGATTCTCTGTAACCTATTCCTAGGTTTCTTGTGTTTGGGTGGGATATCCCTGGTGAAGCTGTCCATTTCCCTCAAGAAATTTTCCTTTTATACTTGAAATACTAGCCTACTCCTGGACCTGAAATCCAGTCCACTTCCTCAGCACCACAGAGAAAAGCGACCATTTTTCTCCCTTTTGCAGCATTTACAGTAATCTTTATCTCTTTTTTTTTTCTTTGAACCAACACTAAATGTTTTCATGAAGTTAAGCCTGCGGTATCGGATTAACCAAAAGGGAATTACCAGTGAAAAAACTTACCCGGTGCTGAGTAACTGCAGTGTTTTCTGTTTGTTTTAAGAGCCCGTCTTTTTCTTATTATCAGGAAGTAAAAAAAAGACAGTCAGTGCACCAGTTCTCCCAGGCACCATTTTAAAGCTAAACTTTCAGATCTCATGTCACTTACTTTCAGTCCATCCAGGTGAACCCAGAACTGTTTGCAGGCAGCTGCATGTTCAGAGCTGAGTGACACCTTTATCTTCCACCGTCATCCCCACCCCCACCCCCACCCCCACCCCCACCCCCACCCCACAACACACACACACACACACACACACACACACACACACACACACTCCCCGTTGGGGGGAAGTGTTAATGATAAACTAAGGCTCCAAAAGTGGACAATGGTGTTATAAAAAAAAAAAAAATACTGACTTGCAGCACCTCCCATAAAACTGACTTGCCCCTGGACTGGTCCCTGGATGGGTGTTATCAGCTGTTACTCATTCACTGCGTATCTATTTTATGTTCAGCGCTACGCTGAGAGTTTTGAGCTGTTCCGTCGGGCATGGTGCCTCCATCTCTGGGTTGCAGCCCTCTCCTTTTCCCAAGTTTATTATTCAGATACAGGCCCCGTGCTTTGGCCAAGTAAACCTGCCCTGACCAGCTCTTCCTGCTTCTCGCCTTCTGGTTGGTAATTCTCTTCCTTCAAATCCCTGTTGCACCCCCACCTCCGCTGCCCCAATGTCCTGCCCCAGCCAGCCAGGCACAAACCCCTCTAACTCCCTCAGCACTTTCCCCAGATGCGCACTTGTCTGACCTCCTTTCTAGACATTAGTTATGACTTCTCCGCCCCAGGTACTGGACACATCCTGTGTTCTCCCCGCTCTGCCCTTGCTGAAGCTGGGGGTCCCTCCCAGACTGCTGCTCTCCCCCCAAGTTCTCCCTGTGGAGACTGGGCCCCGCAGTCCCTCTCAGGATCCTAGTGAAACTTTGCTGTCAGCCTCGCCCACGCAGATGCATCTTCCAGCCTAGGAAGCACCAGAGCCTTTCTCCCTGCCTCTTCCTTAGAAACTGCCCGTGTTCTCAGTTGTACTTGCTGTATTCTTGGTCGCGCCAATAGATCGGAGGCCGGCAGTAACCACTCCCCGTGCCCCACCAGCCTCCCTGCAGAGCCAAGTCAAATCTATGCTTCCATACAGATGGCATTTGCCCTGCAAGCCTAGAGTCAAGACAGTCTCCCAAGTGCCCTTTGGGTCAGTGGCTAACCCTAAACTCCTTTATGAAACGGTATCCTCCCCACTGTATTTTAAGCTTCCCAGGGCCACATGTCTTCCCCATCCTCCTGTTTCCTCACGTACCCAACGTCAGTGCCTGGTACCCAATACGCACTGAAAAATGCCTAATGAATTGCCTCATCACAGAGCCCAGGAAACCTTAAAGATGATGTCTGCAACTCTCCAGGTTTTCAAATATGTGCAGAAAAGAATGGACTTTTATGTGACTATTTTAAGTCAGATCACAGTGTCACGGAGTTCAGCTAAATGTTATTGTTTACCCATCAGGAGAGGGGAGGTGATGATACAGCAACAGGTAACCCCCAGATCTTACTAGTTTAACATAGCAAACGTGTAGTTCTTCCTCATGTGTGTTGCGGGTTGATGGAGAGAGGACGGACTCTGCTTATCGTGGTCGCCCAGGGAGTCATTGTGACCAAACTAGCCGCTATCTCACACCAGAGGCTGTGCTGAAGGAAAGAGAGGTCCGGAGGGTCTAACACCAGCAGTTTAATGTTCCAGCCCAGGACCGGCACCTGGGACTCTAGTCACAGTTTATGCACCAGAACTGGCCACGGGATCCCACCTCACCACACAAGGGCCAGGAAGTGCACTTCTGCGTGTGCCTGCAAGATAGCGACCTGGAGATATTTGGAGGAGAGCATGAAATAAGTCCCACATTTTATTGCTCACGCAAAGGTTTTTGGAGGAAGTTTCTGTTTACTACTATGTGTGGCAGCGCAGAGAATATTCACATAATTCCTCTCTCTTTGCATGTGGTATTCTTTTCTTCACCAACCAGGGCCGATTGCTATGCTAAATCCAGGAGACTTGGCCATGGCAATTCAGGGATCAAGGGTTCTGTTGTCTCAAAGTATAAAGCAGAGGGCTTGCCCATTGTTTACACTTCTTCAGCTGCTCTTGCCAATACTTCAGAGGCTCTTCTGATGGTAAGTTATACCCAAGGCACCTATCCAAGGACTGCCCCCAAATTCACCTGGAGTGTTGCCCCTGTCAGGATCATAGAAAATCAGTGCAAGGTTTTATAAATTTAGCCTAAGAAATTAGCCAGAGTGCTTACAAATATTACATAATAGCTGCATTATTTTTCACAGTGAAACATTGGGAACAGCCTAAATGTCCAACAACGGGGGAATTAGCTTTGCTAGTTATGATATGTAGAAAATGGAGTGTGCGCAGCCATTCAAATGATATTTTTGAATAATATTTAGTGAGATTGGAAAAAATGTTCGCCACATATTGATTGCTACGTTTTTAAAAAGCCGGCACTCGAACAGAATAAATAGCAGATTCTGCTTTTTAGAAATGGGTTATAACTGAAAAGAAAAATACTAATATAAAATATTCAAGATACTAATGGGAACAGGGCTTGTCTCTTTGTGGTCATATTATGAGTGGTTTTTGTACTTTTTCCTTGCATTCTTTTTTTCCCAAGTAAGCAGGAATGACTTGTGCATAAGGAGATAATGTGAATACCTCTGGCCTTAGGCATGTTGATTTCAGGAAACAGGGGTGGCATTAGTGCTGTTAGGGGAGGAGATGGAGTAGGAGGCACACCGATGACTCTATATGGTGGGCTGAGCCTGGTGCCAAGACAGAGATTCAGAAACAGACTTCCTGTGGCTCAGGAGACAGTGTGACGTCAGCTCCCACTTGCCCAGCCATCGGCATTTGACCATTCCTTCTGCCGAGGCGCTGTCTAGATCCTTCTTGGCATTTTGACTTGACATTTCACAGCCGCTGCAAACCCACTAAGCAGGGACATGACACTGGCACTTTGAGGCCACTGGTAACACTTGGGTTTGTAAAGAGATGCTACATTTGCTGATGTAGCAAAAAACTGGCACGTATTTATTTGGGGCTGATACAAACCCTTGTGAAACAGGGGCCCATTCTGGAAGAACTTGTAACACTCATTCATCCTGTGTTGTGCACTGAGCTATAATGCCATAGCTGTCATCCACTTTCAATGAACAATTGTCATATTGTCAATCCACAGTAACACGGAACAATTTTCATTCCCCATGTTGAACTATCGCCATTGTAATATAATTCAGTTCATATTAACAATGCTTTGATGACAATTCGTTTCCACTCCACCCTTCAGCCCTCCCTCTTTCCTTTTCTTAACCAGAGGGAAATGTATTTTGACAATATCTCCAGTGTTAACGGTTTTCTGCTTTTAAAACAGTAGGGCCCCGGAGCCCTCATTGAATCTGCAGAGAACACACCAATCTATTTTTTTTTTTTTTGCTTTTTATAGAACTATCCTGGGATTTGGTAGTGCCTTCCCTAGAAGAATGAAAAGTATCTTTTACCCATTTGACTTACTATTAAGACCGCCCCCCCCCCCATGGACAATGAACATGCATTATTATTCTTCCCTTTATTTAAGGATCATAATTAGAACTCAACTCTCTTCACTTAAGAGTTTACAGTCTGTTCATTAGAAAAGACTGCTTATGTTTTGAGTATTAATGGTGATGGCAGGAGCTGTTTACATGGAGGAATTAACTACCCTAATGAATTTATATTCACTGATTTTCCCTAGAGGGGAAGTTGCTTCTATGTCTGAGTGAGTCTTCACCAGTTTTCAAGGTACTTTCCTGTCACAATAGGCTATTTTGAGCTGATTGAGAGTGTTATCTTCGTTGGAATTTTCCCAAGAGCTAAATCCAGGCTGGCACACTTGATTTGATTAAAATACACTGTGCACAGGTGCATGAGCTCTTCCAGGGACCGCGCTGCAACTTTAAAGTCAAATAAAAGCTATTGTCTGTTGGACGCATTCACTTTTCTCGGTTTTTAAATTCTTTGCTGGCCCTCATACTTGCCCCAAAATACGTTGCAGAATGTGGGGAGTTGGTGAGAGTTCGGGGAAGGGAGAAAGTTAGATGTCAAAAACCACCAGAAAGTTTTGTAAGGTCACGATCCTCCCGACGGCCGCTTGGAAAATGTTAAGGTGTTGCTTTCCCAAGGCCTCTTCCTCGGCATTCTTGTGAACAAAAAATCAGGGCTTCTGAAGGAGTGTATTTCTCAAATATAGGGAAGCAAAATTGAAACTGGGCGAGGAAAATAATTCTGTCTGGAATCCGAGAGTTTAGCAGAGCCTCGGGTAAATGAGGATAGATTTAACGACGACATGTCTGCATCCGTCAGTGAAGGCCGGAGACATGAAGAGAGAAAAGGGGTGAGAAGCAGAGGAGCGGGGGGAAATACGTGCATAAAGTATGCATTTCATATTTAAATTGTCATATGCCTGGTGCGATCGTGCATGTTGGAACAGATTGCGTAGTTTGTGTCTTTGTCCCCAAAGGTAGCCCTGTTTTTTCAGACTTGGGTCCCTCCTTGCTTCTGAGCTTTTCAGGGCATTATACCACCCAAGGGTAGACACCTCAGGGATGTGAAGTACAAGACTGTTACTCAACAGCTTGGGACAGGAAGCGGAGACCCTGCCACTAACTGACACTTCACAGTTCATGTAAAGTGTGTGCCCACTTGGGATGCTGCCAGAGCCCAGGCCAGATCTCTCTCCTCCAACAGGAAGCACCGGGGCCCGCAGGAAGCCCCGTAGTCGCTGCTCCCAGGCCTCACTGACTGTGCACGGAACCTGTGCGACTGGGTCAGACAACTGAGACCTCAACCTTAGTTTTGACTTTGCCCCTTTAAAATGGAACACTAGATCGGGGGGGGGGGGGGGGGGGGCGGGATGTGTGTGAGGTATGTTTTGTGGACCCATAGTTGTTCATAAGGCAATTCTTTTTTTTAAAATATATTTTATTGATTTTTTTTACAGAGAGGAAGGGAGAGGGATAGAGAGTTAGAAACATCGATGAGAGAGAAACATCAATCAGCTGCCTCCTGCACACCCCCTACTGGGGATGTGCCCGCAACCAAGGTACATGCCCTTGATCGGAATCGAACCCAGGACCTTTCGGTCGGCAGGCCGACGCTCTATCCACTGAGCCAAACCGGTTAGGGCCATAAGGCAATTCTTTGTGGTATGGACCAGCTCTGCCAGCAGCCTTTAAAGCCACAAGTTAGGAACAGTGAGCATAACTTTTGTATTCGTGTTTTTCATTCATTCCCTCCCTAATGAAATGGGGGTGTCTTAATAAGTCAAATGAGTAAAAATACTTTCAGTTCTTCTGGGTAAGGCACTCCCTAATCCAAGGATCTGTAATAATAAAAACATAATATGCTAATTAGACTGGATGTCCTTCCGGACAAAGTGGGGCTGCGAGGGAAGCCTGGGTCCCTGGTGCCAGAGGGAAGTCGGTGCCGGCAGCCAGGGGAAGGAAGGCCTACTCTTGCATGAATTTCATGCATCGGACCTCTAGTAGTACTATAAAAAGAAAAAAAAAAGTAGATTGGAGGGCTATGGGTGGGTCCTACTGTTTTAAAAGCAGAAAACTGTTAACACTGGAGATATTGTCCAAATACATTTCCCTCTGGAATCAGACAGCTGGGGTTGAAGCCCAGCTCTGCTACTTCCTGGCAGTGTGATTTGAGCACACCACTTACCTCTTATTAGTAAAACATGGATAATAATAATCGCTACTTATCAGGAACTTTGTGAGGATGAAATGAGTTAATATGTACTTCCAAACAGCACCTCACACCTAGCAAGACCTTAGTAAAAGTTAGCTCTGTTATGCATCGATCTCATGAACAAGAGACAGCTACCCATATAGTCTTACTCAGATCTCCTCTAGCTAAAGGTCCCTCGTGAAATATCAAGCTCTCTGGAGGATAGAGTTGCCACATTCCCTTTAAATTTTGGAGGTATGGTTTCCCTTTTTATTTATCTTTGTATGAATCATTTTTTAAAGAAAATAAATATCCTCATCTTAAATAGTGCTAGAGGTGAGATCACTCCTCTGACGGTTTGAGGGAGGGGGGATGCGTTGCCTTCCAGTCCCTCCACTGGGAGTAGCTGCCCCTCCTGCCCTTCCCTGTCTCCCTTTCTCTTCTCTTCCTTCTCGGGTCATTATCATCGTCCTACCTCCGCCCTACTCCACAGAGCAAAGGTGTCCACGCTCTTCAAGACTCACTCCCAAAATAGTGTCATTTGCCTCTCGAATCAGGATACCTCAGTATGCATTTGTATAGAAACGTGTTCATATTATTGGACATTAAATAACTTCTGTCTGAAGAAATGATGTCTTGCTTTAAATGTCAGGCATATAAAAGTTCAAAAAATGTTCACACTGCACCATACCACACAATGATTCCATGGCGTCTTCCATGAAAGTTTCATAGAATGCATTTTAGAGACAAGCAGAATGGATCAAACACTCGCTAAATAGTAATTGAAGTTCTGTTCTTTCAGGGACTTGAGTGGAATTAAATGTATTCCCTTAGATTGTCATAACGTCTCCAGAATAGAAGGAGGGTAATATTTTATGTTTATATAATAGTGGAAGAAGACTATTATTATGCATAAAATATATATTGGAATCCTATTTAAATCAGTGAAGGGTTCATTTCTGACACTGATTCCCATATTCTGGCAGGATAAGGTCACAGTGAAAGACATAAATATAGCAATTGTTCTCTGTGCAAATTAACATTTTTATTTTTCACAAAATGATGATGTGCTTTTGTTAAGCACTTTACCTTGCATATTGTTGATTTTTGGAGGGGGTGTGCTTTGCTATTTCTAATTTCTGTTGAACATAATATTGGATATTATAACCCCAAGGTTAGGCCCTAGCCGGTTTGGCTCAGTGGATAGAGTGTTGGCCTGTGGACTGCAGGTCCTGGGTTCGATTCCGGTCAAGGGCACCTGCTGGGGTTGCGGGCTCAATCCCCAGTGTGGGGTGTGTAGGAGGCAGCCGATCAATGATTCTCTCTCATCGTTGATGTTTCTCTCTCTCTCCCTCTCCCTTCCTCTCTCTGAAATAAATAAAAATATTTAAAAACACACACTAAGGTTAGAGGAAGGAGAGATGGACAGGTTGATGGACATCAACCATATAAACCTCGCAAGGGAGAGAAAGTAGCATTACAGGTGGGAAGAACTCTCAACCCTCTGCCTAGATGTGAGTTTTGTTTATAAATTCTTTATAGAGGCTGCAAACCACACAGGACAAGGACCTCACTCTCAGGAGTTTAGGTACGTTTCGAGGTGTATCTCTTACGTTCAGTGTTTCTTTGTTTCCCTTTTGTCTCCTACCCAGTATTGGTTCACGCATTCAGATGATTGGAGATGCCCTCAACGCTATGGTGGAAGGAGAATGAAAAAGTGTTCCTACCCTCAAAGGTCTTATGAGATCTCTCCTTTCTTCTCCCTCTCCCTCTGTCTTTCTCATATGAAACTAGATGTTAGGCAGGGCCCCTCCCATTTTCCTGGATCTTTTCTGCCCTGAACTTTCAGTTCTGGAGTGCGTTACCAGTGTGCCCACCTATGTCTGCACTTTCCTTGTGCCCTTGTTGAGGGTCCATCAGTGTGTGTGTGTGTGTGTGTGTGTGTGTGTGTTTGTGTTTGCCCACCTGCCCCAGCAGTAGCAAAGGAGTTGCCCTTTACTTTCATATGTGTTTCCTTTTTTGGGGGGCGGGGCAGTTGGCAGTGGTGATGGTAGAGTATATTCGCTCTTGAAAGGTAAAAGAGGAAACCTCAGAGGCATTTTACGGCAGTGTGATAAGTCCTCCGTAGCAGGGTGGCTCTTGTTTTTGTGTGTGTTACACAGAGACAATCCACGGAGGTGTCCCTTTTGTGAAATTCCTGCCTGGCCTTGTGTTCAAGAAGGACTCCTGAGCAGGAAATGCAGAAATGGGCAGAGTAGGGGAGTCATACACGTAAATGAGCAGTGACAACACAGCATGACAAGTGCGGTGTGAGGGCTGTGCCTAAAGTGCTGAGGGGCCAACCCGAGCAGATTGGGGAAACCTCTGAAGGGGGTGAAGTCACCTCCAAAGTCAGGGCTTGTGATTCAGTGAATGCGGATGTTCCCACCAAGGCAAGGCGTGTCGAGTGCTCAGACCATGTGCTTGAGAGAAAAGATCTCCCATGCAGTCACCTGGCCTGGTGGGCTCCCGGGGAGATAGGCATGCAGGTTCCCTAGGGGCATTCCAGCAGGCAAGTAGGATGTTATGGCCTCATCGCCCAAACTTCCATGAGTAACCATCTCAGCCCCATCAGCCTCACCTTGCTCTCCATTTGGAATTCGCTCTTCTTTCCGTCATCCCCTCAGACTTCTTCCAAAGGAAGCCTGGACTCTTGTTTACTTTCCATCATTTGCCTCGGTGGTATTCCTGCGCATGTGGAAGTGGCCCGTCATTGCCGTTGTCATCTCAAGAGCATCTTCCCAAGTAACAGCTGCGCTTTCGTGGACCCATCTCTGGGAGTTAGTTAAGACTAACTCCTTTAATCCTCACCACAACCCTGCAAGGTGGGTGCTATTATTACCCACATTTTACAGGTGAGGAAACCAAGGTACAAAAAGTGGAGTAGTTGCCCAAGGCCACAGATCTAGTATGTGGCAGAGTGGCATTACGGATCCAGAGAGTCTGGCTCAGAAATGATTGCTCTACATACACGCAGCACCTCCTGAAGGTACCATATGCAGTCATTGTGCACGGCCCTAGCAAATCAGGGAAGTAAAACACAAGCTCTCTGCCTCCAGTAGGAACAAAAGACATGTGAAAATATCAGACCCATGCAGGGGTTTCTCTATATTGAAGTTTGTTTTCAACAGCCCTGAATGTTCTTATTTAGATAAATGAGAGCTGCCCCTTGCCAGCACTGTGTGACCTTGGGCAAGTCCTTTTGTTCCCCGCCTTATCGAGGACATGAGGGAGCTGGAGCGAATGATCCTCAAGGTCCCTTCCTGCTCTGAGGTTGTCTGGTTCTGTGTTTCTGCATCAGGCGCTCTGTGGCACTAAAAACACGTAGCACTTCCGAGTGCACTTCTCTCTGAGCCTCTTCCTCACCCAGGTGGGATCTCCACAGCCTCCTGTGAGCTTTATTAATCACACAGCGACTGTCATCTTCCCAGACTCGGGTGGAATGGCTAAGGTGCCCTCTGCAGAAGATATCGTGGCTAATGTTCTCATTACTGACTAATTGGCTAAAGAGACTTCTCTCACATTGCATTTAGCCTGATTGATAGTTTTGTATCACCTGATGGGTGGAATGGACAGCCAAACCAATTACCACCGCAGAGAGCACCCGGTACAGCAGAGCAGTGCCGCCTGAGACAAAAGGCCCTTATAGATCACGTCTAGGGAGGGTGCCTGCTGAGAGTTTGTTAGACGAAATGATTTTCTGAAAAGTACAGTTCGACATGTACTTGGAATCCATGTACCTCAGGTCACCCCTAAACTCACTGGGCCTTGTCTTATTGAAGGAAGGTGTGTTTCTGGTTATGTTTCAAGCATGGGTAGCCTGGGTAACCAGTTAGCTGCGTAACTAATCCAAGTTAGCTTGTGCTGCGTGAAACTATACATCGGTTGGCTCAGAACTCACGCTGCAGGCCTCCCCTGGGTCACGTCCCACCCAGCCCTTCCCTCAGTAGCCCTCATTAGACCTAGGGCATTGCTCAGATCCCTACCTTGCTTATGCTGCTCAGGCTGTTGAGAGGAAATAACATTCAGGTCACTTGCTGCGTCATTTAAATCGAGTCCATCTCTTTTTAGTGAACGTATTACTTTGTTGAAATCTCTGTTGAAAGTGCAAGCCTCATTTTCAGAGAGGAAAGAGAATAACGCATTAGGGATTCACCTTAAAGTCCAAGTCAAGGAACTTCTCCATCTCTTCTTAGTCCTTTCTTTTTCTAAAGCGAAGGGTCAGAAGTCATTCATCGCACTTCGCTGTAAACAACCTTGATTTCTGAGATTTCCTGGGAGAGATAAGGAGTTCTGAGCGCCTTTCCCTGTAATCTATTGAATTGACTAGGAGATGTCAGTGAGCCAATGAGACGTCCTCCACTCTGTCCCCCGAGCAGGGCCGCAGTGATCTCAGCGTCGGCTTGGGATTCTTGAGAATTACAAGGCACGTGACAAGAGACTTGCGACACTCAGTTTGATATAAATTCTTGTGGTTGAAGCACGTTTCAGTCCACGTTGGAAAGTAGACTTGAGGAGCCCAGGGGAATGGCTGCAATCACAGCGGCCACCACGCTGCGCTCCTGAGCGTTGTCCTCTTCAGGTATCTGCTTTGCTTTCAAAAAAACAGAATACTTCCTGGAGGTCTGATTGACATACCGAAAGCTGTATGTATTTAATGTATGCCACTTGCCGAGTTTGGAGATAAGAATACACCTGCAACACTATCACTACAATCAAGCCCATAAACTTATCATCACCTCCAAAGTTTCCTGCCTCCCCCTTCCCCCCGCACCATTTATTTTACTTTTAAAAATATTTCAAAAACATTTTTCCTTGCCCTAGCTGGTGTGGCTCAGTTAGTTGAGTGTTGTCCTGTGCACCAAAAGGTCAGAAGTTTGATTCCTGCTCAGGTCACATGCCCAGGTTGCAGGTTCGTCCCTGGTTGGGATGTGTGCGGGAGGCAGCCATCGATGTTTCTCTCTCTTTCTCCTTCCCTCCCTCCTTCTCTCTAAAATCAATAAAAACATATTAAAAATATACATTTTTTTTCCTTTTGTGGTAAAGCACTTACCATGAAATTTTTTTAAATTTCTTTATTGATTAAGGTATTACATCTATGTCCTTATCCCACCATAACCCGACCTCCCCAACTCTTACCATAAGATTTGCTCTCTTGGCAAATTTATCCAAGTATATAGTTCACTATTGTTCATTATCGGCTCTGTGTTATACAGTATATCTCCAGAACGTATTCATCTTGCAAATTGAAACTTTGTAGCTTTTGACCAATCCCTTCCCATTCTCTCTTTCCCTTGAAGATGTTTTCTACAAGGCACACCAGGAGTTGGATTCTAGAGATTAGCTCTAGAGGACCAACTGCCGGGAAGAGACATGAAAGAAAGCATGATTATTTTGGTAACCTAACAACTTGTAAGTAAATTATCCTTGGGTGACTATTAGATGGAAAGAAATGGGAAGAAAGGACCTTTCACTTGCAGGGCACAGGAATGTGGGGACACGTGGCCTGTGTTCCTTCTCATCCTCTCCATTCCTTGTGCTCAGGGAGACGCTGGGGGGCTGTGCTGGGACCATGCAGTTGGCAGGAGCCATCAAAGAGGTGGAGGTGAAGGTGCTGATCCAGCTCAGCACCCGACTGGAAAGGGTCATTGTGTGGCCCAGCAGTGGCCTGGCAGTTGCAAGAGGGGCAGGTTTTCAATCATTGTCGCCCTTTCATCCTCCGTGTGGTATATTCCCTGGCGATGCAGATGGAGCTGGTAAATACATATGTTCCTGCACGTTGGGTGCCAGAGGTCTGTCTCTGTCTTCCTCTCCCGACTCCTGCATCCACCTGCCAAAAAGGAATCCAGGAAAGCCACTGAGCGTGCTGTGACGTGGGCCATGGGTGGCTTATCCCCGGGCCTCATAGCAGCACAAACTGTGAGAATGGGCCTCAAATGCATTAGAAAAACACATGCACTTCTTATTTCATGAAAACCTTGACCGGCAGGGTATGTAAGTTCAGTTAACAGCAGAAACACTGTTGACAGAATAAGGCTGTAGTACAGTGATAAGCCATTTAGAAAAGGAATATGTCCTGATCCTTACTTTCCGATACAATCCTTTGACTTTGGTAGATATGCTCTGTTTCTGCTTTGAGTTCACCCCAATCCATTCTCAGCTAAGCTGTTTGTTCTATGAGCTCCCCAATGAGAAATACAGCAGGGCAAAACTCTAACGGAAAGCACCAGCATGTTCTGGAAGGAATTAAACTATAGCTTTACCCCTCAACCTGAGATGGAGCCACTTAGAGTGAAACTTTATTACCATTTTCCTGGAAAGATTTTCATATATTTTCTGGAGATAAAGACATGGTTTGTCTCTTAAAAGCTCTGTTTTATTAAGCGATGATTTCAGTAATAACACTATTGTATTAAACAAGGAGGGAATCTGGGTTCTGTGTTCAGATTCAAATCTGAAAAGGATTGTGTTGATTTCACTAATTTGGGACATGGACATGGGCCATCTTTGAGAGTTTAACCTTAGAACTTCCTGGACTCATAGTATTGGACAACTAATCACATATTTGGCCTGTGTCTGGTAATTACTTTCCAGTGAGTTTGTGAACATGATTCTGCCAACCTCTACCCAAATAGAACCTCACCATGAATTATTTGATTTGGTTATATATCGTTAACTGGAATTAGTATACTGGAATCAAACAAACAGGGAGTTAAAATACAATCAAATAATAGTAATGCCCTCTTTATGACGCCCTCCACATCAGGGTAGCTCTTGTTTCAAATCCTCTAAATCCAAAGCAAAACAAAAATGTGCTCAGTTACTGAATAGTTGAATTTGTAGATATAGGGACATTGGACAACAAAACTTCAACCAACTGTTAAGGGTTTGAAATTTTGGTAACCTGCTCCATTTCTGTCCAAGCCAAATCGCAATCAAATTATGGCACATCAGTTGGTCCAGTTCTGCACAACCTTCTCCCTTTTCTAAATGCCTACATTTTGTGCTTGGAAATTAATTACTGCCTTTCATTCACAGTCCTCTTTTCAAGGGCACAGGATGGCTATGCCGTTGCTGTGGGGCAGAGAGATGAAGACGGTTCTCTTGAGGATTGTTTCTGCATATCTCTTGGTGCCGTGCTGCTCATAGGATGTGATGTGTTCAGTAGGTGTTTTTAGGGCTACTGATGATGTGAAATCCATCTGGGAAGAAGAGGTACAGCTGGATCCTCCTTCTTCAAACACCAACTGGTGCTCTGAACACCTGTTGGCAAGCTGATGGCCTTTTCTAGGAAACACACTTTCTTCTGTAACTTTTTGACCAGAAAAAAAAATCAACCAGTGCATGAGAGCAGAAAGGGGCCTTGGAGGGTAAGCAGGCAGTTCCATTCCCTCATTCTTTACAAACAGTGAGCGGTTTTTATAGCAGCAGAAAGGACATAAATTCATTGGAAGAAAATTTGGAATTTGTCCAAAGTGCAAGGAAGGAAGAACAAAAGTTGATCCTTTTCCTAGATCTCTAGTAAGTTTTCCTAAGAATACATTTTTAGAAGTGACATTGACAAGTTGAAGAGGTTTCACATGTTAAAAGTCTTTTATAACATACTGCTAAATGCCTTTCAGTAAGGTTGTACCCGTTTACCTACTTGTGCCAGCGGTGTGGGTGTGAGTCTAGTACTCTTATTTTTATGTAATGTGCAATAGAAATATTCTCAGATAACTAAGAGGTAATATAGTCAAAGGATTTCAAGCCTCCTTAGACTTGGTGAGGAACTGAAAAGAAAAGTGAGATGATTTTAAATACATGGTTTAACTATAATGAACAATCTCAGTCTCCTTGAAAAGAAGATAATTCTAAGTCTGAAATTTTCATTCAGATGAAAACCACTCTGCCTTCAGTGTTAAGAGTTTCAACAGATCCCAAGACCAGGCCATCGGCTGCAAAAATAGGCCAGAGCAGCCACTTTCCCTTCGGCCTGATTTTTATCACTAACTCTGATAAAAGAACACTTAACCTTTGAGCTTTGCCTTGTCTTTTCTAATGAGTGGGCTGAAGGAAGTTACATCTAGAACCATGTTCAATTCTGCGATTCCAGGACTGCCCATCTCAGTCAATATGGGTATAACTAGAGTGCTGGGGACACCTGCCTGGTGAAGGAGAGAGGTACATCTGAGGCTGTGCTAGAGTTAGTGCCGGGAGCCGGTCCATCCTTGCTGTTGCCGGGAGCCGGTCCATCCTTGCTGTTTCAAAGGACCTGGCATATATGGCATACTGTTCTTAATATGTTTGCTCACCTTCTTGGCACTATGTGTTTTAACCAAGGTCTCTGAGAAAGGTTGTTTCCCCAGGTAGGGATTTTCCCCTGAAGTTAGGAAGGGAATAAAACCTCTTAACTAAGTGCCAGGTGGGTAATTAATCACTTTAACTACGAACAATCATGCTTAAGCTACATAATCTTTACTCCCTGGAATGGAGATAAGAATCGCCCTAACCTTTGAAATAGAGATTGATAGGATTGGAATCAACTGGTATAAATACAGATGTAAGAAGACAGAACCTACACAGACAGAAGAACTTCGCTGGAGAGAACATGGCAAAAGATCCTGGACTGAACCTGACTACAGAAATTGGCAAGAGAACCTGACTAGAACCTGGTGACTGACCCTGGCTGGAGAACCTGGACAGAACCTGGCTGAAGAACCTAGCGAGGGAACATGGCTACAGAACCTGGCTGGAGAACCTGGAGATCCAAAGCAGAACCTCTCTGGAGATCCAGACCAGAACTTGGCTGGAGATCCTGGCTGGAGATCCTGGCTAGGCTGCTGATCAACTGAACACTGTCTCCGTGTCCTTCCTTCTTCGCCGACTCCATCCACACCTTTGGGGACCCCTGGACCTGCTGGGGTTGGACCCCGGCAAGTTAGGACCTACATTTCAAGATTTTCCGTGGACATTTTTATTTATATAATCCTTGCTATGGCAGGCACTTGGCTGGTCAGCCAGGGTGGGATCTGCAAAATGAGTTCCTTCCGGGAAAGCTTGATGTGAGGGATAGAGCCAGGATGGAAATGGAACCCCGGGAGAATCTGAGCGTCGTGCACAGGGTGGGGAGAGCACACTGCTGTCGGGAGAGCAGGGACATCCTTGTGAAGGCAGAAGTTTCTCAGGTGCGTCTTGGCAAGTCAAGGTGGTAGCAGGAAGTTTCTGACTGAACTAATCTTGTCATTTTCAAAGGACAGTGACTAACCCTATGAAACTTTCAAATTTATGAGTGGAAGTTTCCAAGCCGTTACTACAGGCTTATTATAAAATTTAAGTTAAATTCCATTTCAACAAATGTCATTCATTGAAAGTCTTTGCATAACCAATATTGCGAAGCCTTTGCCAGTGGATTACTTACTTGAATCAAAATTTAATATAGGAAAGTTTCAGTGAAAGAACTGTGGCGGGCTCAGGGGTTTGTTGTCTATCCCCTAATAACCTCACAGTCCCCTCGCAGAGGTCACACACTTCCTTAGAGTTGGAAGCAGTGGGAACTCTGTTCTCTGAGGTCATGTATAAGAGAAATAATTACATAGTTCATTTTAAAATATTTATTCTTTCTGTAATAATAATATATACACAGAATCTCAGCCCTGACCTTCGGAGGAGACCTGAAGGTCCAGTGTTCTGATTAGTTCATATGGACACACTCTGGTTGTATTTAAGGAATAAATATTTAAATCATGGGATGGGAAAGCATTGGGCGGATACTGGAGACATTTTCTTCATGGGTAACCTATTTATGCTTCAGTTTGTCTTAAACGCCCCCATTTGGACATTTTCACATACAATAGACGGGTGAGAGTGGTCC